TTTTTGGTCTTTTTGAGACAAGGTCTCCCTGTAGTCCCAGCTGGCCTGGAATTCACTATGTAGACCAGGCTGGCTTCGATCCTACAGAGATCTGCCTGCCTCTGCCTGGGGCTAAAGGTGTGCACCACCACACCCAGCTTGACATTTTCCATTTGTATAGTGATACTGAGACACTATCATCCTAGAAATTTTCTTTATTTTGGATAGAAGTTTGTTTATAACTTCAGGTTTATATTAACAGTGGTATCACTTGACTTTGAGGGATGGAAATAGTATGTAAGTTTTCTTGGCTCTAGAATTTCCTTAAATTTCAAAAGAACTTCAGATATGTATGTGACTATAAATTACATAATTACATTTCTTTTTATATAATATTTCTAAGTTTCTGGCTTTTTGAATTTTTAAGGGCTCTTAGATTGTGTAATTAAAAGCTTTCATTAGAAGAGAAGGTTAAAATAAAATATATAGTAATACAAAAGTTAGTTCCTCTTCTGTTCAGAAGATTTATTTTTAAATGGCTTTGCTACATAATGTGAACATACACAAGAAAGAAAACTTAGTTGGTAGTCTGCACGGCACAGTACCTTTTCTCATTGTTGCCCCGCCCCCCTTTTTGATTTTAAAGATTTTAATTTGTATATGCATGTGAATGCTTGTGTGTGAAAGCCAGAAGTCAGCTTCTGGTGTCATTCCTTTGGAGCTATCTACCTTGTTTTTTGGTACAGAATTTTTCACTGGCCAGGAACATTCCAAGTAAGCTATATCAACTGTCCAGTGAGTGTGACAAATTTGCTTGTCTCCACCTCCTCAGTGCTGAGATTACAAGCCTGTGTATTATGCCCACTTTTTAATGTGGGTTTTGGGGTTTGAACTCAGATCCTTGTACTCACTCAGACTATCTGAGTTATCTCCCCAAGTCCAAAGACTTTAATTTTTTAAGTGTATTTTATCTTTCTTGAAACGTTAAAGGTACAAGGAAAATAATGTCCTACACTGAGTTGGCAAATGAGAAATATTTATTTTCACGCATAGTTTGAAAAGCAAATATTTTTCATGACAAATAGTGTATCACAAAGCAGTGCATTACATTGATAAAGCATAAAAGAATTTTTGGTACCATTATTTATAAACATATCTGATGCCCTTATTCTGCCATCTAGTACTATCAGTTCTTTGTCCACAATTTAAATACAGCATTAGTTCTTTTTGAAGGGAAAGCTTTCAGTTTGCTGTAATGCTTTAAAAAAAGAAAAGAAAGCCAAAATTGTATAAAAAATTTCTTGTAGTTCTCTGCAGCTTGTTTTGTTTGTTTGTTTGAGACAAGGTCTTACTACATAGCCCTGCTGGCCTCATACTGTGTAGCCTAGCCTTGGTTTGAACTCACAGTGATCCTTTTGACTCATCCTCCCAAGTACTAGGATTACAATCATATACCACCATGCCTGGAAGACTGTAATGCTTGAGAATAATTCTAAGCTAAAGTAGAGCCTTTCTTAGTTTTTTGAAGCTGTTTTTATTTTTGTTATTTTTAATAACTTGATTCTGTAACTCAAATTCTTTCTTTCTCAAGGTGAACCTTCCCCTTATCTTTCATTTTTAATGTGCCAGAGGGGCATTGTTCTTTTTTCCTCTTTTTCATGGACAGCATGACAAACTGATAAACTGAATTGTAAGCATGGTAGAACTGGTTTTACTAATGCTAGTTTGGCAAAAATAATCCTTACAATTTGATTTTTGTCACACCGAGTAAAAGGCTGAGGCATACATTAAGGCTCTTAGTCTCCCGACTCTAGTTCAAGTAATTCTCTATGGCTCCTTTATGTTTATCTTTTTGTTTTTTGTTTTTTAATATGATGCTCGTTTAGAGAAGAAGGAAGGAATAGGGTTACATTATAGAACTCAGATTTGGGTAGTGGACTTCAATAAGGCCTGGGGTGACACGTTCTAAGCAACTGTGGTCTCAAATTTGCCATTTCTGAAAAGATGATCAGCTTCTACCTAATTGTGGACCTTTCTTTCTTATATAAAATACAGCTACAGATATTAATATACTTTATTTTGATCTGATTGTTTGATTAAAAAGTGAGGCAGACCCTATGAATGGCTATCATTTAAGCTGATAGCATCAACACAGCAGCACATAGAGGTTATTTTCTTCATTTAATTATGTTTTTCTAAAACAAACAGCCTGCAGCAAAAGGTAGAAAAATGCCTTGAAGATGGAATCCGCCTTCCCATGCTAGATGCAAAGCAGCTTCAAAGTGAAAATGATAATCTCAGAGAACAAAATGAGACTGCTAATAAGGTGGGTAGATGCTCTCATAACAGAGATGAAATCTGCACGGTGGAGATGAGTGCATACCTGTATAACAGTTTTATGAGAGCTATAATTTTACTGATATTTAGCAACATAAAGTTTTTAACCTGAATGCTTTGATTTGGAAAAAAGATAGCAACTTAAGCAAATATAAATTATTTAAACTTAGATAAAAGCCCAAACAAAAAAGCATTTCCTTTCCTAAATTATTCAAAGTCTGTCTCAGTTATTTTTATAAATTTTAAAAGTTTCATGAAGAACTATAAGAAAACTTTTGCAGTTTTATTTATGGGTGGTCCAAATTATCTTGCCATTTAAGGGGGATACTTAGTATGAATACTAAGTCAAAAATGAAGACATTTTAAAATAAATTTTTATTTCTTTATGCTTTCTTGTTATTACTTTTGGTGAAAAGCAGTGGAAAAGATTCAAACTGATTTATTAACTGTGTTTTAGATAATAGAGAACCAGCAAGATGAAATTAACAGAATGGTTTTAGAAATTCAGGTAAGAAATATTTTGTACTTATTTGAATGTAGCTGTATACTGATTTATTCTCACTGCTTATATTCCCTAAAAGCATTAAAGCACATTTATATTGTAATAGTACTTGAGAAATCCACAAATTATTTAATATTAATATGAACATAATACATAGTGTACATGTTTGAAATTATGAAAGAACAAAATTTATTAATAAGAAAATTCTTAGTAAATCAGTTCTCTAAAAAAAATGGGAAGATTGTTCTGTATTCTTTGCTTCTCCCTCTCTTTAATTGATTTAGTGTATCTCAACTACTGAGAACACACTTGATTTAGGGTGCCAGTAATCTGATCATAAGAGAGTATGGAATGTTTTGAGTCTACTTGTAATTTGATTTTCATATGGTATTTCCATCTGGAAACTCATTTGTAGCCCATCTTTGCCCATTTTATCAGTTTTTTTTTTCCTACTATCAACCTTTCTTCTGCATTCTATGGTGAGCTGCATTTCTGTGCCCCAACCCTTCGATACTGGTAACCTAAAAGCATTTCTCTGTCTTCTCCCTAGTATCCCATCGATACTCTCATATTAAGATCTCTGTTATCATCCTGTCTCTCCTGTTAACTGATTTTCTCTGTTTTCTGAGTATGCTGCCCCACTGCCATTATTTCAGCCCCAAGTGTGATTTAAGTGATACTTGTCGATTGAAATAATGTAGCACTTCTATTATTTGTGGAATACCTCTATTATGTAACAGTTAAAACACACTCTAAGTACGTCATTTCCTCCCTATCTCCGTATCCTCATCTTATGCAAGTACATATATACTGTATGTGTTTGAGCACATATAGTACTTCACTAAACATCAGTGCTCGAAGTTTCCCCTGAAGTGTCTTTGTCCTTAGAATGCTCATCTAAAAATACCTCCTCAGTTGTTAAGATTCTACAGAGCGTTATTTAATAAAATGTGGAAAGAGACTCTTCACCCTTTATGTAGGACTGACAGTGTTTCTTTTAACTTCCCTCACCCTCCTAATAACACCATTATTCTTTCTGTGTTGTCATGTGATAATACTTTACGTATTCATGTCTTTATATTCTACTGAGTTTCTTCAGAATGATACTGTGGTAACTCAGAGATTTGGAGCTTACTAAAGTTCTGGCCACATAATTCACAGTCTGAAAATTTGGAAACTAAAAGGACTCTCATTCCTTTATTCATTTGCCAGATACTTACTTAGCCACTGCTTATATGCCAGACATGCTCCTTGGCACTGAGAATTCATTGTTGAGCAAGGCAGCTCCCTAGCCATTCTAGTGGGGAAGGTTAGAGAAAATAGAAAATTAATGAGGTGCTATTTTTTGTCTGCTAGAAAAGTACTAGTTAAAAACATAAATAGAATATAAGGCAGTGACAGAGGGGACTTCATTTGAAAGAGTGATCATCAAGTTTTTGCCAAGGAGGTAATATTTGAACATAGATTTGAATGAAGATAGCCATGGGACCAGTACAGCCTTCCAGGGAAAGGGCGTAACAAGTTGTCTGAGAGTATTTGTTACTAGCAGGAGGGTGGCTGCTGTCCTAGAAATCATGGGTTGAGGCAGTGAGATGAGAGGAAGGTGATAGAGAAGAGTAGCCTGGACAAGATGAGAAAACATTTAGATTTTGTTCCAAGTATGACAGAAAGCCATTGGACAGATTTTATTGAAGAAATCTGTGGTTTTATATCTCCTACTTCTAATAATATCTTGAGAACTTTCTTGGAGGTTCTAGCAGGGGAGTACAGTTACGCATGTATCCTAGACTAAAGAATGGTTGTCTTCTTTTTTTACTTATTTATTTTTTATTTTATGTGTATGAGTGTATTGCCTGCATGTATGTGAGTGCACTCGTGTCATGCAATGCCGCGGAGGTCAGAAGAGAGCTTCGGATTCCCCTGGAACTGGAGTTAAGGCTCCAAACCTGGAGCCTCCATGTGGGTGCTGGGAATCGAACCCAGGTCCTCTGCAAATAGCAGTCAGTGCCCTTAACTGCTGAGCCGTCTCTCCAGCCCCAAGAATGGTTGTCTTCTAAAAAACAAACAAAAACAATGGTCTTCCTCAATTGGGAATGATGAGCTGACCCTGAATTCAATGGGTAACAATTATCACAGCCAGAACACCCTAATGTTATTCCTAAAATGGAAATAAAAGTGATGATTCGAATGCCAAAATTAAATGAAGTCTCCTTCTATTATCTTTTACCTTTGTTGAATGATTTATCTCCAAGTATAGCACCCTGGTAGATTGATTCACAGAGGTTCTGACAGTTAGTTTATATTCTTACACACATAGCTTCAGTTCTTCCACAAGCACTCAAAATCACAGAATTATTAGATATTTACAAGAAGTAGAGCTACCCAAAATTATTTTATTTAAACTAACAGCAATCAGCACATGAATTTTTAAATAGATCTTATTTTTTAAATATGTACATATATTTGTATGCTTGTGTCTGGGTATGTGCACATAAGTGCAATGCCTGCAAAGGCCAAAAGAAGATATTGGATGTGAGCCACCTGATACTGGTATTGCAAGAACAGTATGTGCTCTTAATTGCTGAGCCATCCCTTTAGCCTGCCACACATGATTTGTCATGAAACTTTGACCGTGATACCATTCAGTTTGTGTTTATTATGTACTGTCCTTCACAGTATAGTCATTCAGTGCTTATTTATAAAAATTTCAACATGCATAATTTACTCTTCATTGTAATCAGGCCTTTAGCCACATGTAAATATGTCATAAGTGTATATAAGCATGTGCATAGAAGAATATGTGATTTATGCCATTTGATCCTTGGTCTTAAATACTTGAGCAAACATTTTTTATTCCTTTAAGCTTCTTAGAGAATTGAAACTAAATTAATAACACATTTATTTCCAAATATTGTGAATTAGGCATTATACTTATTAATTTCTTTTATCCTTTTGAAACAACAGCTGTTTTTTTCTTTTTCATTTTTGACCACAGCATCTCATCTGTTTCAGCTGTCTAGGTCCTAGGGGTATGGTATATATTTTACTCAGAGAGATGGCCAGTACAGTGGCTCGCTGGCCAACTTAGCTGTATTTATTAAGATATGATTGGCATGGAAAATTAATGGTAGAGATAAGTATGACTCTTTACTTTCCTCAAATGATGGAAAGGCTTATCCACTTCTTTAATTTGGTGGCTTCTGATGATTTTTTAAAAAAATATGTATAATTCGTTAAAACCTTAAAAATGTCAATTCTGAAAAAATGAACACTAATTCTTTCTCTGGTATTAGAAAATTTAAAAGGAACACTTAGGTTTGAAAAAGTGCTCTTGTTTTGCATGATAGTAAATTTAATTAATGTGTGAAGTATCACACTGATAATCTAACAGAGCAATGCCTTTACTACTAATTCTTCAAAGCTGTCTAGCTTTTCCTCAGCTGCTTTCATGGAGGGTGACCAGTCTTGTAATGATTATATAGAGTATGTCCTTCCATAGGTCGTTTCTGTTTATAAATTTCTTCACATAGCCAGAATATCAACAAAATACTGTGTAAATAAGAATGGCAGAGCATTCTAGTCATTTTCCAACATAAACTTTGAATTTTGTCAATCACTATAGTATTAATTACAAAATTTTACAGATATTATAGCTTAATGTTTTTTGTTTTTTAATATAGGCAGGACATTTTAGGTTGTTTAGTGAACAAAAATAAATTAGTGGTATTAGGATTTTATTTTTCACTGCAACTTTATATCCTTGAGACTACTTAGAAGATTAGATTTATGTGAAGTTTTTTTTTCATAAAAGCACTATTATTTTTTTATTTTTGCAAATACTTTATTGAGAATTTCATACATGTATATAAGGTGTTTTGATCAAATCCATGCCCACTCCCTCCCCTCCAATATTCCCCTCTCTGAAGAGGTAACCCTAAAATCTTTTAAGGATTAGATACAAGCTCCCAAATACTTTTGATATTTTTGGCCTTTGGAGCAGAGTATGTTGCTAAAAGGCCCAAGGACATTTTGACTTTTAGCCAAGAAAGTGGCTACATTTCTTTGGGGTCTTTTTACCCTAACTGCCTAGCCAATTCCTACCTCCTGTTCTTATCACGCCATCCTCTGAAGGGGTTACCCAAATTGCCAATAGGGAATAGGGATGCTGACAACTCTGGGTCTTCCATGCTGAACAGGGACACAGGGTGAGGCAATTGGAGTACCCCTTCAGTGGGTCTATCTAAAAGACTCCAAAATTGCATAACTCTTGTCTCTAAGGGGAGAAGAAAGTCCTTAAATCATGAATGGGAGATGTGAAGGAGAAGTAAAGGCAAGAGTAATTAGCATTACAAGTTCTAGACAAGGAAATAGAAAAAAGTCAGAACAGGGCAATTTTCAAATGTTCATATGAGAGTCCATTGGAGCTTCTTGACAAGGGCTTCCAAAAGCATCCCTCCATTGGGTTCATCCTCATTTTTCTTTTGTCTTCCAAGTATGGACTGGTTGGCTGGGAAGAGTGGCTGGATACTCAGGTGAGGGTCCAGTGACCCTGCTTGGCACTCCTTTAATGAATGAGCACAACTGTCAACAAGCCTAATTGTGACTATGTTTAGAGAGCAGGCTCAGCCAGAGTCGTGCTGATGGTAGTTATTTCATGCAGAAGGGACTGCTGTATAGCATCATCTTATTAAAAGGACCTGGAATGGTGGTAGGAGCCACATATGAGGGAGAACATAAGTCATTTGTTTTTCTGAGTCTGTGTTACTTCTATGTGAAGATTATTTTAACTGATTTGGGAACAAGCAAGTGCTTCTGACAGTTTACATTTAATCCCAGAGGTAAAGGATAAAATCTTATGCTGCATATATTTTATCTCTTATTTATAGAAAATAAATGTAAGACATTATTTTGTAATGAAATGCTGTTTACAATACAGCTATTGAGCTAGGGAGATGACTCAGCAGTTAGAAGCACTGCTACTCTTGCAGAGGACCTGGGTTCAGTTC